TTCTTGACATCAAGTGGAACAGGTAGCTACATTTTAATTATGTGACAACTTAGCCTGCGATTCTTTGTCAGGACTTGGAAGAACCCAGAAAACATAAACTACTCTAAGTATCCAAACTGAGGGGATTCAATCCAGGGAATTGATTACACAGGTGACGGTCAAGCGAAGAAGCCCCACATGGAAAAGTGAGGCAACCCAGTTACTAAAAACAGCAGAAATTGGTACTGGCCAAAGCCAGAGAGGCAAGGGAGGAGTCAGAGGGAGCTCAAGGGCTGGGTTTACCTGACAAAAACTAGAACCATGGAGGAGACATGGCCTTTGCCAAAGATATTTCTGGGAGCACACAGAAGGGAGAAGTACCTTAGCTTCTTCCTTCCCTCCCACCATCCAGTTTCCCATAGGTCCCTCCCATTGGCTGAACACAGTCAGAAGTAGCCTGCAGACTGGGACCGTGCTAAACGCAGTTTGGAGGACTCAGCCCTCCTGTGATGCTGGGAAGAGTGGCAGGAAGGGCTGGGAATGGATCTCAAAGCAAACAGCCCCACACCAGCACCTGGCCTTGAAGAACTGAACCTGATGATGGCTGCTCTGAGAGAACTAGTGGTACTTCCAGTGCCTTTGATTTTCCTCAGTCATCCTCTCCATCAAAGTGAAGACTTGTTTGGGGGCTCTCTTTGCTGCCTAGCAGATGAGTGTAGTGAAGGGTTTAGTTTATTTGGGAGTTTTCACTCACCCACATTGACAGCAGAGCACACTGGGGGAGCACAGATGAAGGGCAGTCATTCAGAGCTAGGAGAGCTCTCTGCACTCGACACATCACCTGTGGGCATCTGATCACTTGGTGAATCCTGCTTGTGACATCTCTATTCCTGGAAGGTACTAAAAGTTCTTTAGATTCATTTGTTTGTCACATATGTAATCTCTTCTTCCTGCCTGCGGTGTGCCTGGCACCAGGGGGTGCACACAGTGACCCACATTCTTCTGCCCTAAAGTTGTCCAGGGCTGGACAGAGCCTTGGTCAGGCTCATCAGGCCTGTGCACCACTTTGGTGATGACTGGCCAGTGCTCTTTTGGATGCCTTCTTATTTCTGCCATGGAAAGAGCAGTGTGGTTTCTTCATAGTCAGCAAGGAGAGAAGGGAGACTATAAGGCTGAATAGAAACAGGCTCATTCACAGTGTTCTGAGCAGTGTTCTGGTTCCCTAGTGCCGCTTTGATGAGAAATATACCACAAGTGGGATGGCTTAAACAAACAGGAGTTTATTACAATTTGGAGGCTTTAAGTCCAAGTTCAAAGTGCCAGGCTCTAGGGGCTGGGTGAAAGCCCCTCAAGCTTGGGGTCCAGCTCTGCCTCCTGCTCCCGGCCTGCTGGAGCTAGAGGTGTTTCTTCACTCAGACAGCAGCTGGCTGCTGAGGCTGAGAAGCCCCAAGGTTG